TGTGACGTGCAATCGTCTTTTTTAACCTAATTTCCTCATTATCTTATCATATTAATTTTCCGATTATCTATTGATTTTTAGAATAAAAGAAAAGTGTACGTAGTATTTTAGAGGTGTATTTAATCGATCGCAAATGTCGTTTTGTGAATATATCTGTTTATCTCGACGTATTTTGCAAGAATTTTTAGCATGAGTTTTCTCGCTTCTGACGTCATTAAAAAGAGATGGATGATGCGACTCTCCAGGAGCCTTAAAATAAGTAAAATTTATTTAAATGCAGAATGTATTGTTCTGTGTACATGTGTGAGCGGAACTCTCAGTGTCGTATTGCGTAAACAAACCCCACGAATTTCTCAACCGTAATATTCGTTCCACGGGCCACAACAAGGAGTCATATCCTTTCAGTTGAGGCAACTCTATGTATAATATACTCTATATCTATGTACTAATTGAACGTATCTACGACTATGATTAAAGAGAACTGTGAGAACTGTATAGATGGGCACACAACAGCAATTTTTAATGCAGCACCCATTTAACTTAAATTCGCATAAATTTTTGCCTTAACGACAAAGAATGCGGCCGCAGACATAACCATGACAGTTTTCTCCGTGCACGTTTTCACAAGATAAATAGATCTAAAGAAGTACGTCAAGATTCAAATGTCTCATCCGAGTACAGCTTTGCACAGAGCTACGGGAAAAGTAGGAAAATTAGATTCTCAACGATGCGTAGCGAATATCCCGACGGAGAAAGCTCTTTATCACGAGAGGATTTGTCATATTGTTCGCCGTCGTTATCTCACAGCGGAGTATCAAGAATACGGTGTAAGAGTCCGTATGGCTGTCTGCGAAATAACATTTGTGCGACGTGTTACCTAGTTCGAGCGTCTACCTATTGATTTAGTGCTCAGTTTGCACCTCGAATAGAATCAACGCTACCGTCGTGTCGTGGGGTATTTTACGGAATGGTTACCGAAACACGATTAGAAGCTGTCGCCCGATGCGCGACGTTTAATTAGGCAATAATTAACGCTTGTTCCAATTTCAAAGTCCTGAGCGGCGTGAGCGAGTGAACAAACGAAGCTGTTGGCGCACTCATTGACGACGATGTCCTCCGAGACTGAGTGAAACGAGAAGATGAAGAAGAGGAAGGAGAATCGGTCGCCCCTCGATTGTCATTACCATTTTGTGTATCTCTCATAAATCTGAGCGCGAATATTTTTGCACAGGAAGCGGCCTGTTAAATAAAAAATATTTGCGCGCGACTATATTCTCCACGAAAAATCTCGTGTGAACGATCGCCACCGCCAAAGCATTCGGAATATTTAATTACCGGGCCGCGCAAAGTATGTCGAATAATTAAAACGCACTCGCGAAAATAAGGCAATTAGTTCCGAGGTAACGCCGTTATAATACAAAAAAGGGAAGTTGCTTAAAATAACCGGAGCTACTCTGAAACTTTGGTCATAATAGCCGAGATTATGAATTTGGTATTCTTTTCGGTATTATCTGGTCGGGAAAATAGGAGGTGCGTTTGTCATGTGTTATCTGTGGTCACTTTGAATTCTTACGGCTCTTGTTAGCCAGCGGGAAATTAATGCATCATTAATTCATACGGAACATCGATAAGCTTTATCAGGAGCAAATGTTCGGCATTAACTCAAGAGAAAGTGTTTCGAGACGCTCGTTAAAGGACAGTTTTCTCTTATTAAGGACGCACAAAAATTAACAAAATATCTTAATGGAATGTTATTAAATTTTCAGTTCTTTTATAATAAAAAAATTAATATTTAAAAATTAAATATTCACGAGTTTATCAATAGTTCACACGATAACGACAAGCTTACGGAAATTTTCTACCGAAAATTCAACTTAATTGAACCACCGAGAATCAAGATATTACTGCAAAATGATTGAAAAGAAAAACGAAATATTTTAACTGCATGTATCATACACTTATATTGAATATTTGATCATCAAAATTATATTTTCCTTCTCTTTATATATTGTATAAATACACAAAAAAATATCAAAATAACACTTTCGCATATTCATTTAGTTTGTCATAAAAAACTGTGAAAGAACAAACACGATTTTCAGGCAATCTGACCCTCCAGTCCCCTTAAACTGTGTGAACAGAAAAGTTCAGTTACCATACCATTCATTTAACATACAGTTCATTCAATTTCCAGCCAGTTCAGTTACTCTACCATTTGGTAAATAACCACGTAGATTTTTAAGTATTAACTAAAAAACACTTATGCATTGTCGCGCACGATTATCCACCAATCTTCTTTAATTAATAACTCAAAAGTCGAAATGTTATTACTAACTATTACATATGTTATTACTATTAATTAAAAACAAGAGATACTGTTGGAGCCAGAAATAACAATAATTTTAATTAAATCGACCATTTTTCTGTCTCAGTATGTATAATTACCTCAAGCAAAGGAACACATTACTGTTTCTCTATTGTGCAGAGAATTCAAGCAAAGGAATATTGCTGTTTCTCTGTTGTGCAGAGAAACTCTGGTCTTCGTAACAAAAGAACAAAAACTATGGTTAAGAGAGATCCGTAAGGTTTAGTTACACCATACATCACTGAGAGTAGCGCTCAAACGCGTATAGGGGGGCAACGATAAGAGGCCAGTGTTTCACTTTCAGAGTATTACTGGCTACTACAACCATCTTGTAGTACGCATGAGCGAAAAATAACATTAATATTTCGTTATCCTTAATGTTTTCTCCGTGCACATGGATAATAATTCAATTCGCGCATCTTTTCGTCTGTTGCGCACGCGCGTGTAAATAAATTAATGCAAATCTAATTGAACTTAATGCACGTCTCGAGCGGGCGCGAAATGGTTCTGCTCGCGCGTTCGCAAAGTGCTGTTTTTTGTCGCGGAAGTAACCGCGGGACTTGGTCGCTCCGAAAATTCCGGCGAGAAACAAAAACGGAATCGGAGTAGAGGGCAAACGGAGAAAAACGGCGGAGTGTTGCAGGGTAAAGCACCATAAAGTCTCATTGGCTTTAATTCGGTTGTACCCCGCCGGCCACTGGGGGTGATTAATCGTAACGTTACTGCAACACGAAAGCACCTTACCACCGATCATTCCCCGGGACGCTTTAGAAGAAAGTCTGACTGTGTTGCTTAATGCTCCCTCGCCTAATTGGTGATATTTGTCCGTCGGGAAAAGTGAACCGGCGAATTTTTTTGTCGAGGAAACGCATGTCCCAGAATTAATTCTTACGAAGGTAGAAAAGATAATGACGACCGGCGAGGAATCTCCCTTTTGCAAACGTAATTTTTTAATTAAATCGCTGAACGCTATTAATCTGAAATTGTCTGAATATTACGTGTTACACCAGCTTAGGTATCCCCCCAGAGATATTCCTGTCAGCTCATTTCGCCAGCAACTACTGAAAAAAAAACGACACCTACACTTATTAAAATTCATCGTAAAAGAAAGAGGGGAACTGTCGGTTTATGATGATGAAAAATTCAGTTACTTTTAAGAGGGAGAGAGGTAGGAGGATCAATGTTTAATCTTTAAATAGAGCAGGATACACATTCTTATGCTCTGCTGTATTCCTTATTAAATCTTGGAAGTTTTTAAGAGGCGTTCTTAATTTTTTATTACGTCCTCCTCAGATTACTGAGAAAGAGAAAGAAAGAGAGAGAGAGGGAGAGAAAGAGAGAGAGAGAAATGGGGGAAGGAGGGGGATTTATAAACGAAAATCCGAGCCCTTTGTCTGTCGAAATCCAATTCCTTCTGTCTACATATAGAAGATTCGCGCGATATTTTTTATTATCACAGAGAATAAATCCAAAAATTATCGTCTCAATCCATGAAAACTACCGAATTAAGCGGACTCCGTTTTTTTCTTTTTTCTTCGAGACGGCTGAAATTTATGCTTAGGGATTGAGAAGAAGTGAAGTACGATTGTTCATTCGCGCGCGCGGAAAAGATATTAAGTAAAATTATACGCGCTACGCCGCTCACGAAGTCGGAGGACCTCGCGTTGTTGCACGCACGCATGCACTCACACATACACGGTCACAATAAATACGGCAGATATTCGGAAATGAAGTGCTGCATTTAAATCCGTTCGTCGGTATTTAAAAGCGAAGTATATCATCCTCAGTACATAATCCGCGCGCCGCGAGCGCAGGTCACGCGAAACGAAACGCTTATGAATTCTCGAAGAGTACGTTTATTTCCCGTCGCTTATAAATATGCATGCCGCCGTATTTTGCGGCGCGAAGCCGCTGACTGCTTCTCTCTCTCTCTCTCTCTCTCTCTCTCTCTCTCTCTCTCTCTCTCTCT